AAAACAAAACAGGAACTAGCATGATAGAATCAGTTGCAAAGGCTGCTTTTCCTCCATAGATTTTGGATACGTGAAAAGCGACGGAGGAATTGCAAACAATATACACATATAAATACAACAACCTCTGACGAAGGCAGTTTGCACAACTGCCGTCTTCCAAAGGGGACAGCAAACATTTGTTGGTGAATGTTTTATAATCTACCAGAAAGACACATGTGTTGGGAACACAAGCAGCAGCAAGGACGGAAACAAAGTCCTCCACAGAAATGCTTTCTCCCACTCTCCTTCCACAAGGCCATGAGCACAATTCATGCATTTGCATGTACTTACTGTAGGTAAAAAGATTAGCCTGGTCTTTAAGAAGCAACCTGATTCTTTAAACGCCACGTAAACCAGAAACGAGGTTCCCCTTATTGGGTTAAGGGATTTAGAGAAGGCAGATTAACACCAGTAGATTTCTGCTTAAGGCTTATGAAACTTTTGCATGCCAAAATGCACACTGGTAGCAGCGCGTCAGGATAAGAGCAACAAAATAAGGTCAACATCCCGTGGGGATCTTATATGATAATAATAATAATATAAAAAGATATATATAAATACAGTGCAACAGCCAAAGTACTTGCCTACACATGTACCTGAGAGGAGAATTCACAGTGCACTGAAACCAAACATTTTGAAAACAATTATGTTAAGATTGTGCTCTGAAGTTTTCAATTTCCCTTACGAAACATTCACAGATAAGACCCAGCTGCAAAAACATCCTTCCTGGATGGATTTTTTCAAACCAATAAACTAACAGAGATGAAATATTGAAGAGCTGGCGAGCCGGATGGAGGGACGGAGAAGCACACGCCGCACACTCAGACGCGCTCAAAGGCACTCGCCGCCTCTAAAGGAGTGATACAACATGCACACAATCGTACATTCAATCTAAAACTTTTACTTTTCAGTTCTTAGCTGAATTGTATATTTGAGAGTGATTGCAGTACCTCAGAATGCGGCCCCACGCTGCACTCTGATGTATCTACTCTCATCCATTATTAATGCCGTGGTCATTTTTAGTCCCTTCCTTTTAACAAATAAAATAGTAATAATAGAAGACATTACCCTTAAGCCGAGAGGCTGTGTTTAAATGGCGTTTGGAATTTGCCAAAACAGGGTGACCACATGCCCGAAGGATTACTTTATTTGAGTGAAGGGCTCGTGTTTATACATATTTCAGTACACGCGTGTGTGTGTGTGAGCGCATGTGTCCACACATCTGCTGCACATGGACGTGCTTCTTGGGTTTTAGAGGCATTTCTTTGGTATGGACCAATAAACTAAACAGTTTGTATTTGTGATTTGAGGATCTTGGGGCACATCTACTGTTAGTTCTCAGTGGACACCAAAGGACATATTTGAATATGGACTTGGACTGTATTCAAATGAAATGAACCCCTTTATCCTCTCTCAAAAAAATGAACACTACTATGAACGGAATGTACTGTATATATTTATACATGTAGCGTTCTGGTATTTAAATCCCCACATTAGCAGTATTGTTTTAATCGCCAGTTGAGATAAAATGTATCCCCTCCCTTACTTCACTAACAGAAATGTAGTAATACCAAAAATTAAAAATAAATAAATATATATATACATATATATGACGCCCCCCTCAAAGATACCAGAGAAGAGTCTCCGCAGCTGATGGCGAAGAAACTCATCGAAGAAGAACCTTTTCTTAGTTTGAGAAGTAGTTTTGTTCTGCAGCTTATTTATTTCTTTGCTGACCGTACTTCCTGCGTTTGCGTGGTTATTTCCTATTAAATATTGAAGTTTATAAAGTGTTTCGGCCGAGCGGCGCTATCCGTGGTCCTGAAAAAAGAAGGGGATCGTAGCGTCTCCGTGTTTTAGTGCATGCTGCCTTGTTTATCTCCTCTGTGTCTACATAACTGCCAGTTGGCCGGGGCCCTATAAAAAAAACACCTGGCTCTGGGCTCGAAGTATCTATAGCTACAAAAGACAGCAGAGTTTCTTAGAAACATCCGTTTCTTCCTTGTGTTCATTTTCGCAAAGCTTCCTCACATCCGAAAGGGAAAGAATGCAATGTATATGTGATCTTTGAGTCACTGTGCACCTTTTGGAGGCTGTATTGCCGATGCATTTATACAGCAGCTTACTTGTTACTGAAGGTCTGTCTGTTGCATACCTCGACTCTGCAACACCTCTCACGTCCCTTTTCCTCTGAAAGAAGCTGACAGGCGCGGTACACGGCCACCGCTTCTTCTCTGTCAACCCATGAGGGAACGCTCGGATCTCACTACTTAAAACCATTCAGCAAAGATTACTGACATTTCTATGCATCATTGATGCAGAAACATGCCCTGGCGTATGTATAGTATAGAGGAGTGGGTGAAAACAAGCGGTTTTGTTATTCAGAGTGGGGTCTCGTACCCACATTGCCAGGTTTTAATAGCTGGGTTGGTTCGGACTGTCGGATTGGGCATCGTGCCGAGCTCTATGTTTAATACCTTAATTACCTAAGTAAAATAAGTTTGCCTTTTGGGACCTTTCCTTCAAAATAAAGCACACCTTGTTGGTCATCGATACTACCGGCCCGCAAACCATCACATTAACAAACCCATTCGTGAAAAACAAAGCTTTGGTGTTGTCTGGTTGATTTGGATGCTGAGCGATGTAAATAAACAAATATGCTCCCTGAGGGCTTTTACCTTTCAACTGCAAATACAATGGAACAGAGAGATGTAATTGAAGGCCGCAAGCCAACGTAGAAATGAAGAAAAATAATTGCTTTTCCCTTATTTTGTTTAAATTATTTCTCTCTTTGTCTCAACACATCTTTTCTTTTCTTTTTTTTTTCCTCAGGGCCTCTCCTCCTCGTTTCCTCTGCGCTCTCTGAACCATCGCGTCTTCCAAAGCAACCTGCGCCTCCCTCAGACTTTCTGCGTCGTGTCAAAGCATGCTAATGAGGTGGCAGCATATGGCTCATTTCTTATTTAAACCCAGCCGTCAAACAGGCAGCAAGCCCGCAACTCACCACGGGCCCCCGTCTCCGTACCTGTCCCTGTTGGCTCGCGCCGCGTTGATCTCTTAATGAGGCTCGAGCGTGATCCCCCATCAGCCCGACGCCACACGGGGCGCCATCAGTAACATTAGCGCTTTTAGATTTTTTTTTCTTCTTCTTTTCTATAAAAACAATGTGAGAAGAGCACAAAAAGCACGATCACACCCCCGAGCTATTTCCGTACGGACGCACGCGTTTTAGCACAACCGGGTAATTCATGCACAGACGGACACGCCAGCATTTAGCCGCCGACAGTCTGCCACGTAACTCGATTCCATCCTGCTGTGCTAAGCACTCTGTCAATGTGACAGTCTTGTTTTATTTCACGATGCCAGGGGACGACCTTGCCCATCTCGCACAGTTAGTCACCGATTCCACACGCCATGACTTTGAGTTTCACGCGTGCTGAGTGTGTTTGTAGCTGGTGTGCGAGGCAAAGCGGGGCGAGAACATATTTCCCATGTATTTATGTAGAAGTTACCACGGCGGACGTTTCTTTTGGTAGAATACGTGTGCAGGAATGTGCAGCCGGAGGTTGCTCACACGGCTGACAGGAACAAAATGTTCATTTTGAAAATATGGAGACAGTTTTACACCTTTTTCACGTGCAAAAGCAGATAGATCCGACGGTTGAACTTAATGCAGCGTGTATTTGTTCTCTAAAAGCACATTTGTGCAATTTGCGTCATTGTGTTACATGAAAGAAACCGAGGATATTAAATAATGATATAACAGTATCTTACAAATCAATCCCTGAAGACTTAAACAGCATCCACAGCGCCCGGATGTCTCAATAAATGCACCAGGAGAAGAAAAAAAAGAGACGGCAGTTGTGATGGATTCATGTAGCTGAAAACTGTTAAAGCATTACGAGGCCTTAGTTCTCTATTAAGAACTGCTGTTCTTTCCCAGAGGACCGCTACGGTGTACCTCCGAACAAAGGGAAGTAAATGGCTCTCACCAGTAGGATGCTGTGTGTGTGTGTGTGTTTGTGTCAAGTGTGCACACACGAACAGCCAAACACATCCAAGCCACACTTCCAAATATAACTTCAAACAAGTCAGTGTCAATGTTTGTTCACCTCGCTGTCTGTCATTCCCCAAAGAGACGGCGCTTCCACTGTACGGTCTCTCTGAAACCGCTCGGTTTGCTTTAGCAAGGCCAGACAACCGACAGATGTTTGATCAAGGAGGAAAAAGAAAAACACACCAGAAGAAACTCACAGTGGCTTTTTCTCTGTTGCCATTCGAGAGGTGAAATCCACTCAAACTGGAATTTACAAAACCAAACACAAACAGGGCAGACGTGCACCAGCTTAGTTTAGTTCTTTTTAGTTTAAAGGCCCAATAACAGCTGCGGTGGAATACGCTGTGTTTACGTGAGCCGTGTACACGTTTCGGCTGCACCACCATTACATTTTCATGGTTTACTTTATTTTTTTTTCCAGTTGTCACGGATACAACAACAGCTTACACTAAAATCTGTACATTTGCGATCATGGCGCCATTCACTTAACTGCCGTCGTCTCGTTCCTTTCTACTCGTTTGCCTTTCAGCAGGCTGACTGATGACTGGCTCACTTAGACGTGACTAATTTGTTTTTTAAGAGGAAAAAAAACTAAACAGAAAAAAACGAGTAGAATGCTTTGTGCCTAAGATCTCCCCCCGTGTGTGAAACTTTGATGAGACCTTTTTAGGTCGATACACAAGAGTACAACTATAATCACAGCAGGAGCCCAGTAAAAAAAAAAAAGAAAACTGAATATGTTGCCTTGCGTTCATGCTCAGTGAATCGTTTGTGAAGTGAATAATAGCAGATATCAGGAAGCGGCCTTCGTTTTACGAGGACGCAGCCACCGAGTGAATGCTTCTGATTGTGTGTGTGTGTGTGTGTGTGTCTTATTACACAAGCGCGTTTCCCTCTGACTCACCGTCCAGCCGCCTCCGTCCGTGGTCATGTCGCAGTAGACCTGGAAGCCCGCCGGGTAGTGAAGCGGGAACACCGAGTAGATGCCGTCCTCCCTCTGACCACTGGCGTACAGATCGCCGCAGTCGCGCGGACGCGAGCCTGGGGGGGAGGTGAGAGACACACGAGATAGATCAGATCCAGAAGAACTGAGGAACACACACACACACACACACAAAGGTCACACTTTTGAAACCTCAATATGTTGTCCCCCACTCAGCCGTTCGAGGCTCTTTGCTCTGGAAGCGGGACGGAACGAGCGCTGTGGAGGTGGGGGACGGCCGAGACACCGGAGAAGACGTGTGCACGGCGAGATGGGTGAGAGGCGACACGGCGTGGCAGAGGAGGAGAGGTGAAAAGGGTGAGCGAAGACAGCGAGGAAGCGGGGGGGGGGGGGGGCGCAGACGTGGCGCCGCGAAGAAGACAGGGAATTGAGATAAAGTACACTATGGAAGTTGGAGGAGGAGAAGCGCGGCTCAGTGAGACGGAGAGATTTGAGCGATGCTGCACAGGCAAAAGGGAGGGGGGGGCGGGGGGCGGGGGGGGGGCATATAAGAGACTGAAAAAGAGAAGCGAGGAGAAGTTGGCGTCGGGGAACTTGTGAGCCACTGCAGAGCAGAGCGGCAGCACCTCGTCTGCGACTGAGGAACCAGTTTTCTGCACAAGGTACCAAAAATCGACTCCCCCCCGGAGGGACAATGTCATAGATTATGCATGCAGAGCTCTCGCAGGGGTCAAACCCATGAGTCTAAAACAGCTCGTGGAGTTCTTGGAGAAGTCATGAAAGATTTTTTGTTCACTCACTACACGATGTGGAGCGCTTGGTCTCCCCGAAGCTTTTCCGTACCCCGACTGCTGCGCTCTGACTTTCATCCTCATCATCACACATAAATGGTAACATTTCCCAGTTCTCCTTTTCATTACAGGAAACTGGAGCTCCCGGGGTTCCGTGGGACATTGAAATAAGAATGTCATCATTATTTAAGAAGTTGGTCGTCTGCAACAAGGAGTCTTTTTAAAGTCTTTCAGCTTAATGATCCATTGCAGCAGAGATTGTCTTTTCTTTAGAGGACCCCTCTCATCGCAGCACTGATACTCTGTCTGTGCGCACACAATTTAACACTAAAGAAGATCTCCGTCACCTTTGGGTCCCCCTCCTTGTGTTTTCTATATTTTTCTTGGCGTCAAGAAATCCATTGAAAGAGACCAAAGGCAACAATGCGTCCGCCTCACAATACTTTGTAACAAACAGAATTGCATTTGTGATCTATTTTCGGCCGTGGATTTGGTTGCAGCCTCACGTGGGAGGGACTCGAGAGACTCCTGCAGACGGCAATGAAGGGAAATGTCAGCCGACGCGGAGGTGCGGCTCACTGATGTGTTTTTAAAGTAATAATTGTTGTCCAAACAATGTTTTTTTTTTTTGCATGACAGTGGCGTTGTGTGGCACGGCGTGATAAGCTACAGTTCGGATGTACATTCAATACTTATTAGCAGGATCGTACTGTAGGATTAGTTAACAACCAGATGTTAAAGATAGATATTTTGTCTTTGATAAGATCCAAACTATGAGTTTTGTGGTCTGTCTCACTACTAATAATTATCAAGGGTGTTATTTTTTGACATTCAACCTATCTGCGTGTCTTGCAAAAAGGTTCCGGTGTCCCAAATTTTTTTTCTGGCAACTGGCTTGTTTGGACCAGGAGGGCACATTTCCTGAATCTCATCTTTTTGGTGACACAATCCCCGAGTTGCATAAACCCTTCAAAGCAAATCAGTGTGACACCACAGGCCCTGCACAGCAGGAAGTGAACTCATTTAAATGCCCCCCGCGTTCTCATCTCCTTCCAACGCGGCTCATCTGTGGCAGCCACTAACGTGTCCTGCACGTAACCTTTTCATGCGCGCTCTGTCTTTCGCTCCCTCGTTTTGAAATGCAAACCACTCACAGAACTTTAGAACTAATCTGGCAGCAGCAGTAACAATAACAGGAATGGCGTGTTACTTGTACAAACAGCACAGCGAGTATCAAGTAAAAAGTAGGACTCCTGAAACTCCTGAAATCCTGCTACCGCCAGAGCTGCTGTCAGGTTTGGATTCACACAACTTTGAAAATCTAATATGCTCTTATGGGAATCCAATGCAAACAGCGATGACTACTTTAAATATCCACAGGCAGGCGGGAAGACGTGTGTGGATGTGTCACGAACTTAAAGCGCGTAGGCAAGAAACCGGCATCAAATATTGAAACGACCACCTGACATATAACACGTAGACGTATTTAATGGACTGTGTGCTTGAGGCTTTCCAAGCGGAGCTCATGTGTGGTGCTGTCCGTGGTGCTGAACCTCAGCGCCGGTCGGTCGGTCTTTCATATATTTCAGTAATAATGTGCATTTTTATTTTGTTTTAAACTAAAATAAATGGCTTTGTAAAAACTTCTTACACCTATTAATTTAAACTCATGAGGATAAAATATGAATAATGATGAGACGCTGAGGGAAACAGACGGCTCTTTTTACAGGGCCGTCGGTATGAAATGATGACAGCGCGACGAGCCGATGAGTCACACTCCAGCAGCGACGACAGTGCTGACCTCATCGTCATTCCCACATTGTCATTCCCACATCGTACTGGCTGCGGACTTTGGCACGTTGGACAGGAATGGATTTTGAAATGAAACACGCAGCCGACACACAAACATCCCCGACTATGAACAGTGAACGTTTCCCTCTGTGGCGTACCGTAAAAGACAAACGCATTTTTAATCAAATGCAATGCAGTATGACACTTCACATCCTATTGCATCATGTTTTTTTTTTTTTAGAGTTGTTGTTGCTCTCCTCACGTAGCTGAAGAATTGACTCAATAATGCTGTGGCCAACACCAGCCGCGAGTTATTATTCTGATAACGTCTTAAAAATGTACTGACACCATTGATTCTGGTAGATTTTCAGGGACTGTTTACTGGTTGCTTCAGATAATCTGCTTCTGGAAAAGCGCGTGTCAGGCTTAAGACTCTGTGAAACACAAGTTCTAGGAAAGACTGAAAAAAAGAAATGTCAGGCAGGAGAGGCCCGTGTTTTTGCCTTTTCTAATCACTCAGTAGGTAAGTTTATATTGCTTAAGCAGATTTTTCAATGCGATGTTAATTAATTTTTGGTATTAAGGTTTCTTTGGTTAGGATCAGCTTTCAGGTAGACTTGAGATTAGGTGACGCATAATTAAATAATGAACATTTAATTGATACCTGATCAAATCTGAAATCCTCAACAGATCAGATACATTGAATCATTCATAATTACGTATGAGAGCAATAACCAAGAAGGCTGAAGATACATAAAAATGACAAACTCACACTCCTTTACATAAAAGATTAGATATTTAGAACTGTCACAAAACTGCTCTCTAAGATTGCCGACTAATTAATAAAACACCCGGTGAGTCTGGTGAAGCACTTCAGTTCCTTGGCGCTACATAGCCCCCCCCCCCCCCCGTTAGCAGATTCATGAGACTTCTTCCCCATGCTGCCCTCCCTGTGCTACTGTACGCCATGTGTCATACATGAGCGGTCGCCTAGGCTACCTTTGCGAGGGGAAGTCCAACAGGGGGGGGGATGCCTTTGGGTGCGCTGCGCCTGGATAAAAGCCTTCCAATGGGACGATGCCTCGGGCCTTTCTCTGCCTCGCAGCAAACACGGCCCAGTGCAAGTTATTTCTCATAGTAAAGACACAAAAAAAAATCCCCATCTCTTCATCTCTACCAAGGCCGCTGGATAACGTGCAGGAGACGAAGCCCAGGGAGAAACACCAACGTGTGAGTGGGAGATGTTGAGTCGAATGAATATGTAATAGATGGACGACGGACCTCACTGGAATACAACCTTGGAGTCGGGGACGGGGGTCCCGACAGAGGTCGGTATACGGTGCCAGAAGGTCAAACGCGGAGGCGGCTCGCGAGGTATGAATAATGTACGCAGAAGGGACACGATGAAAATCAGACGGACAAATCAGACGGGCACCGACGGTCCGGCCACGCCTCCTTTCCTCTTACCGTTGGCGCAGCCCTTGAAGCGGGCCCCTCTGACCGGCGCCCTCTGCAGGTCGGCCTTGACGCGCGCCTTCAGCCCCACGTTCTCCTTCTGCATGGCGTTAAGAGCGTCACTCACTGAGTTCACCACCTTCACCACGTTGATCTGACTGTCTGACAGCAGCTGCAAAACACACACACACACACAGACGCATTACTACATATTACAGATAATTATACATGGCTCTACACGCTGTTTAAATCCCATAATGCTTCTGACTAATTACGTGTATTTACAACCTTCCGGACGGTTAGTGAATTTAATTTACTACACGATGGCTTAAAGAAGAAGGACGTGCACGAGTCGCTGGTTCCTCCTCAGTTGCATTTCCCACAGTGTAGCTGCACAAAGTACATTTGGAATGAAAGACTGGCGCCGCGTATTGTCGAGAAACTCCTCAGCGGCATCACCAGCAAGAACAGGTGCCGACAAATCCAACCAGAATGGAAAGCTCACGGATTATGACTTTTAGGATAAGCAACCCATCATTTTTGTTTGCCTCTGATTTCTTCAGAATTACATCACCTTCACACAGTTGGCAACAGCCAACCTCGAACACACCAGCAGGGGCAGTTTTCACAGAGGTTTTCAACTTTGCAAAGGGGAAGTCTATCCAAAAAAGTGTTTGTATTCTAGAGGAAATGGAACATATAGATGAACATATAGTGTATATTGTATTTGTAGTAAATGGGCTAAATCCTACTGTGTTCAAGCACTGAAACGGCATCGTCCTCACTGGATCTTTAGAATTACCGAAATAAACAGCGTAGCAAAGATGCCATTCGGTGCCCTCTCCCATAATGCACTCTGGTGCGCCTTATGGGAAGCCTGGTGATGGATGTAGGTGCTGGGCCTGGCAGAGAGCAGGGTAACCTCTCTGATCTACCGTGGACACCTTCTCTCCTGCAGCCCTTTATGTGCTGCTCATTGCCGAACGGTATGTTTTTCACATATTGCCCCAGTTCGCCAGCGGCCAGCTGCCGGGGCGCCGCATGTGTACACACACACACACACACACACACACACACACACACACACACACACACACTGTACTTTTGCTGCTTTGAGAAATGTTCTAGCTCTTTCTTATGCTCAAACACAGCCGCCGTCTCTCTCTCGCTCCCTTATTTTTCCCCTTTCCTCTACTTTATCACCAGTATATAAACATGCACTTGCACACCAAGACATACAGGCTTTTACAGTCAGTTATAAAGGGGTTCAGGGTGTCCTACCAAAACTGTGTCTGTGCAGCTATTTTCAGGTGTTAAAATTGCATTAGAAAGTAACCCCGATGGCTTTTCCCTGGCCTCAATAACTATGCAACGCACCTCTGAGGCCCAGCGAGCTGCACAGCAATCATATTTCATGGGCACTGGGGCTTTAACCCACGCTCACAGTCGTGAAGAACAACAGCACATGTGGGTTCCCCACATGCAAGTACCGAGGAAACCACACGCATGCGTATGCTAAAGGAACGGCCACCGGGCTCAGCAGCTACAGGCAGAACGCATGAAGAGAAAACGCAACAATTTAACATTATTTGGTAAATGAGTTTGCTTCAGTGTCGTGACTTCTTTAAGGAACACGGTGCATTGTGTGATTTCTATTAAAGGCAGAAACAAAAGCCTTCATTTTAAGCCTTGGCTGAAACAGCACAACATCAATTAGCATCATGATGTAATTAGCTCTCATTAGGAAGCCGTTCCATTGGAGCACAGAATCAGTCTTTTTGTGAGAAACGCTTCACACATCAGCGGTAGATGGATGGAAGCGACTAAATTTAACCGTTGATAGAGTTTTAAAGTCCTTTTTAAATCTCAACACGACTCGCACAGACACATGTGGTGCAACTGCACTCAAAACCAAGCTCTCGGCTTGTAACTGTGGCTCAAATCCAGTTTCATGTCTAATGAGTCGGAACTTCAGTAAATTGGACACGATCGAATCATTGGAATCGCACAACAAAAGGATATGTTTTTGTTGTCCTTAACCACAGCCGAGACAGTTAAAGCCACCAAAGCACCGGGGAGGTGAAAGGCTGGAATCGGCAGGGTTAAATAAAGTCACTCAGTCACCATCTGCCCAGCGACACATCTTCACCTCGCTGACGCTCGACCGGAGGCGAGCGAGAGGACGGCCGAGGAGTCGCCCACTCGCTCCTCCTGAGACGGGGAGCTCTTGAAAATGATTTAAAGCCTCAAGCGCATTGGAGCCATTCCGACACTTCACATATAGACCCGAGGAACCGATACCAGATGCAGATATTTATTAAAATATTTCAACACCACATGTCCACAGCGGCTGTGTTTCCCATACATACATCTGAAAGGCTAATTGTTTTTCACGTGGGTTGCCAATGACTCCTCTGAAGCATGAACACGATGAATAAAACCCGTTCCCCATGATTGACAGAACCTTCGCACATAAAGGGAATGTTTTCGTAGCAAATCTGTGTCACATCACACAGAAAGTCTGTGGCCTCTGATCAGGCTTTTGATTCTGTCCATGTGCAGTTGGATGGGAAGGGGGCAAAGGTTCCAGCTGTGTAATTAAATCATTATTCAGGAACAAAGGATGTGACAGTCTAAGGTCTCTGCTCGCTTATCAACAATCAGGCCTGTTCGGTTTAGCAACAGACTTCTGTCATAGTTTTGACATGTCGGTTTGTCCTTGAATTGTCTTATTTTGATTCCATAATAACATTATGTTGAATACCTCGGAAGGATATTGCTCATGTGGTAAGCATAAGGCTTAATTATATATTTTTCTGTAATTCCCTTAATTGGGATGTCTTTGAAGCTCCCCATTTGTCGCATTGGAATTGGTTTCAGTGACTTGAATCACTATCCACTCTCATCGGGGGGTTTCAAGTTGTTTGTATCACATCCCCGGGTGAAACGCTGCAACAAGCACTTTGTGAATTCACTTTTTTTTTTTTTTTTGCTCAAATCCTCAAAGGACTATGTGCCCACCAGAGCCAACATCTTGAGGCGATATGGTTTTGTATTCTACGGCGGCAGAGGGTTGGAACCTCGATCCGCAACAAAAGGTTGTGGGCGTCACTGCTCAAACGCATTAATATTCCACAGGCACAAAATTCGGTTTAAACTGTGACCTGCGGTCGAAGGAAATCAGTAAGTCATGCTCTTCTCTGCAGCCCTCGCAGACTTCTTTTTCTTTCTTTTTTTTCTTCTAAAGACATGTGCATGTGCAAAACTGAATGTCAAGTCAGATGAATGTGTGAACTACACTTCATGTCTGTTGGATTCGGCTTCTCAGGAAGTGATCACGTACGCTTCCTTTTAATGAAGGCTGCTGCTGGTCACAGCCAAACAAATACATGAGCACTTCCTTCAACGCGGTTTATGAGGAGAGCTTGTACTCGTTACCGGTGCCGTCAACTGCGACGAGAACACGGTATTAAGATTTGACAGCAAATGTGAGGGTGTTTGGATCGGAAGCGTGATGCTGAGGCCACTTTTTTGATTTGACATGAAACTGACAGTGAGGCAAGACAAACGTCCGGTAGTTTCTTTGTTAAGTGGTGACAGCGTAATGTCTTTTTTTTCGCCTCATTCGTTATCCACAGGTGATGACTACACAGAGGTGTCAGAGTGACTGTGTGTGTGTGTGGGTGTGTGGGGGGTAATTCCGCTAATTACCTTCCAAATATAAAAAGATTTTCAGCACAGAGAAGGCACTAATGAAGGCACTAAACAATGCTGAATCAGAGAAAAATAGCAGACCATCTGTTTTGGTCCTCCATCGGTTCACGTTGCAGCTGGAAATGATGGGCGATGCTGTGAGGAGATTAAGCCGTGAAGAGACCCCCGGGGCTCAATTCCTGGGCCTGTAATATTCAGGGGTAACTGAAGGAGGAGAAAGCACACTCGAGGCGGCATGGAAGCGTAGCAACAAGCTGCAACTTGTCGAACGCTGTGCAGTTAAATGCATGGCTCCCTTCCCATTGGGTCACTGGTCCCATCAATGCTGTTTAGTGTGAATGCAAAAAAAACCCGTGTGCTTTTCTATCTGAGGTTGCTGAAGTGCTCACGGTGAAAAGATCCTGGTCCTTATCTCCTTGAGGGCATGTGAAAGGGTTCTCCTCTTTATGGCGAGGGATAAAGCGCTCTGCAGGGGGGGGACACGCAGAGCCATTACTGACACCGACACAGTCGGCTGCGTGTCGTCGTATAAATCAGAAACGCCGGCCACAGGTGGCTCGTAGATCACTCGGTCACACCATCGCGTCAGGTTCAAAAACAGCGGATGTGCACGCCGCGCGCTCCGCCGTCCAGAAAGGGGGGGGGGGGGGGGAAATCAATCACCCAAAGTGTCTGTCCTGCCATGCACCGCCTCCACTTAGCCCCGATGCCCGCTGCGCCGTGCCACCTACGCGGCATTAACGGCAAAGGCCTCCAATCAGCACGCATGGCTTCTCGGCCCAGAGAGGCAGTGCAAAGCAGTCCAGTGGAGCTTTCCGGTGATTTCTAAACAACGTTGAAGCGGGAGCTAAAGAGCGAGGACTGGCGGAGGCAGGAGGCACTCGGTGGTTTGAGCCGTGTCGCTGGCAGCTACGGAATGTGTTTGCTGCAGAAAAGGGGAAATTAGCCTGATGGGCCGAAATGAAAAGAGCATGTGGTGCGGAGACTTTCAACTCACATTTAGGAAAACGCACGGTCAATAAATCAAAGGCGACAGAGCGAAACTAAAGGGGGACTAATCAAGTGTAATCAAGTGGAGTCTTACACATCTAGAGATCCTTTATTTTGACTTAATGCACAAGTTGTTCTGTTGTGTCAATCTTGATGGGCGTGACCTCGTCTTCAAACACTCAGAAGAACATGCGCTTTATCTGCACTTCAATCTACTTGCTACCGGGTCGGTGAACTGCAAGTAAACATTAACATGTTTGGGTTGGCGTTGCGTGAGTAAATGATGTTTGGATTTTGCAGTCGGGAAAAGGAAGCGACTAAATCCGACCGACGTGGAGTCCAAGGAGCCGGCACACATCTCAATGTGGTTTCTCAATCGATACGCGTCGAAAAGGGGTTTCACAGTCCGGCCCTTGAGCCCATCTGTGCTGTGCTCACTTCATCTGTTTTTACCACTCAACCAATCAGGTTTACAGTCAATCATAGAATGTCAAAATAAGAAACCAATGAACGCGATGCAATCTTTTTCATACATCCATAAATGGAGCTCATTTGGTTACCGGTGGTTTCGAGGAGGTGCATTGAAACCACGGACGAGCTCCACTCATCACCACATGTTCACCATTCCAGATTGTTTTGCAGTATTCTGCACAGTTTTGATCACAGTAGAAATTGAGTATTACATTTCACCACTTGGCAAAGCGAGAAGGCTTCTGCTAATTCATTAAATCATAAAAACCACCTTTCATGTATTCAACGGCCACCATTTTAGGCCCGTATCGAATATTCTGTCGCTAAACATACGTACATATGAGGCACAATATTCAAACATGTAGACTCCTTCCTCTGAAGATTTATATGATATAAAAATCACCTGTATGAGGCGTCCCTGCTCCGTCTGCAGCGTGTTGAGGTCTTGCCCCAGGCTGCCTTGCCCCCTGCGTAACGATTCGTAGTCCATTTTCAGTTGCCCCGCGTGGGCCGACAGCTTGGCCACCTCCTCGGCCAGACTGACGAGAAGCGCCCGATCCTGGCCTTTCACGGACTTCAGGTCGGAGTCGTGGTCGGTGAGCGAGTGCAGCAGGGACGTCTGGACGCCCTCCAGGCGCAGAAAGTTACTGTTGTAGTCGGGGCAGTTGGGGTCGATGAAGATGTTGATACGAGAGCCGTCGCCTCTCTCCACGGTGACCAGCGCGTTGGCTTCGTCCTGATTGGTGGAGATGTGCGGTAGGCCGTCGGACATGGGCGGGGCCTGGTAGTGATTCATAAAAAGGATGGTGCCGGTCACAGTGACGGCCAACAAGACGGCCACGAAGAGCAGGATGGTGCAAAGCAGGTAGCTGCAGCTCATCCTCTGTAAGTAGGAAAGGAAAGAGGGAAGAGAAAAGGTTGTTAGCATCACCGCTGCTTAAACTTGCCTCTTTTTTTAAAAGAATGACATTCACACATCAATATAGACGTATTTTATTTGAGAGAATGTTGCTGTGAATGATTAATGTGGCGACACAACAACTGCCAACAGTCTCGGGAATCAAAACCCGCCGTATATCATTAGAGGAGCAGGGGAGAGAGGATGCTAGTCTGAGACAACCCTCTGGTTTTCCTAATAAAAACTAATAAAAACCTGAAAACAGCATCAGCCAGGAAGAGAACGTAAGAAAAAAGAGACCCGGACAGCCAATAGAATTTAAATGAATGAGCAGTAGAACCTCTTAGAGGACAAAGGCAGACCTCTACCAGTAACATGGTCTCCATTAACCGGACGATAAAGGCCCGTGCGATGGCTTTTTGATGATCCATTTTCCCACTCAGGTCCAGGGAACGAGCAGAAGGAAGGAGAGTGCAGTATGGCCCACCGATGCATGATTAAAAATTACTGCCCCCCCCACATCTTCCTCCATATGAATCAGCGAGTGATTTTCTGCAATGGAGGATGTTCTCTTTAGAGAATATGTGGGCAGGTGTTTGTTGTCTTTTTGTATGTGGAAATGTGAGTGCAAGGTCATTAATATGTAAATTGGTTGCAGGACCAGAGTGAAGCCCATTAATATAGACAGCTAATGGTCTGCTTCACAAGAGAGGTTTATGGTTTCCTTGATGTGAAGAAAATCAATTGTGTTGTCCAGGACATACTCCTATCCACCGCGTTTACCCACGATAAAAAGTTCTAACTTCCCCGGGCTGAGATATACGCCCTGTGCACGGCATACTACGCCATGAGCTCTCAAACGTTCAGCCCACATGGTAATGGGGCAAAATAAAGGTTCCATTTGTGGCCTCGAGGTTGTTCTAACCAGGGGCCCATTTTTGAAACTCACATAGGGAGCCACATCCGGGGCCCCCAAGTCAGGGAGCCAAATCTGCTGCAATCCTATAACATTCACACCCTCAAGCCATCAACAAGCAAACATGGACTCAGCGAGGAACACATTACATACATCTAGTAGCTTTTCATGTTTAGAAAAAGAAATAAAAGCTGTGTTTCACTTGATTCCTTTTTTTTCATTTAATTCCATTCGGTATAATCTACTTAGTACATTATTGATTAAATGAATGCATTATGTTTTTCTGCAGGGGCCACGTTCTATGACCGCTGTTTCGTGAGCACCGCTGACGTATCAGCACCGTCACTGCAAACCGCCCCCGGGCTCTATTTGTCCGAATGGGTTGGCGACTGCGCACACAGACCTACATCATTTGCACACAGCCCTTTCTGCCCGATGCAGGCATGCACATATTGCACAAGGGTTACTTCATCAGAAATGTTATGACTTCTTCCCTGTTTTTTTCTTTACCACAATACATCATCACAGAAAACCGCTACAGGGAAGTATTGCTGCACATCCCCCCGCTCTGACTTAAGCTGCAGACCATGACGGCTTGATGAAGTCTCTCTTTGCAAGTCAAACACTGTTTTTTAGTCCTGTTTTTCCCGCCTTGTGTGTTTGTGACTGCAGGTGCAGCTGAATGATTGTGTCGAGGCCTCGGCTACGTGTTCGGATGCGTATGTGGGGGTGCGGGGGGGTTAGTGCTGTGCATATTGTGTGTCATGGCCTCATGCTGCGGAATGGCTGCAGTGTAACATCAGAGCAGTTTTACTGAGCTCTACCGCCAGCGGGCCATCATTGGCACCGCGCTAAATATTCAATGAAAGCACACCGATTGTTGACTTAACCCAGAGAAGATATACGGCAACCCCCCCCCCCCCTCCCCCTCTGTGCCGGCAGCGAGAAACTCACAAAGATATACCTACAGCAGCCGGGCGTGTAAGAAAACCATTCGCAGACGCGATACAACGGGAACATAATGGTCCTCAGATGTCAACATTTAAAGCCAAGAAATATAAAACTGTTTCTAAAATTGGTTTAAGGTACAGCCAGAAATGTAAGGTAACAAATAACCGGCCCCGAGGCAGAACACAGGAAAAAAATAGAGTTTTATTTTGAGGCGAGGCGAACATGAGGTCAGACGACTTAAAGGGGAAAAGAAATACACCTGACGATATTTTAAAGATGGTCAATTAAAATGCAACCTTCAACCCGCTCAAAAGCCTGTGAACTCCGGCGCTGCAGTGAGATCAGGAGCACTGACTGGTGCACACGCAGCCTCTAAAGACTGATGCTGTTTTTGGGGTAAAATGAGCCTTTCAAACTAGCAGCAGGAGCGCTCTCTGTAATTAGCGGCTGACTTTCACATCCTCTCGTGTCTCTACTCGTGCCACGGCGCAGGATTTGGGACAACAGGGGAATTTGGAAGGGTGAATTGAAAGGGAGAGGCCGAGAATGAGAGAGAATCCTTTTATTTGAAAAATATGTTGTCCACCCACACAGGAATACTGGCAAACAAATGGCTTTGTGTGCTCATTAGATAAGCGGGAAACGAGCTGCTCTTACCGTTTCTTTCGCTCACGCACTCCCTTTCACCCCTTGAAACGCAAATGTACACACGCACATGTATGCAGACTTATACAAAGGGAGAATTTCACATTGATGCCACATAAAAAGACATACGGCTCTTTGAATGCTAAATTGGCACAAATATTGGCAGGGCCGATGCAAAACAAACAATTCTTTTTTTTGGGCCGGTCCCACTTGATGTTTCATTTACCTGCAGCTTGAATAAGACTTTCCCACCGTTACCCAACGCGTGCTGCAGCTACCTCCGACACCCTGCAGCGGGACGTTTCCACGATGCCTCCGGCGAGGGCCTAATACCGTCTACAACTTTATTTGTAATTGATAACAAAAATAAGTGTCGGTGGCAGAGCGACTTAAATTGAACAAACGGTTGTCCAGTTTATTAAGTCTATCGGAATGAAAAGGACGACACCATATAGTTTCTTTTCATAGAATAAAAAAGCCCAGAATGCAAAAGCCTGTGCTCTTGTCTGTGTGTGTGTGTGTGTGTGTGTGTGCGTGCGTGCCGATCTGCCTGCGTGTCCACGTGCGCAGCATGCTGTGGGTGGAGGGCCTTACCTTGGCCGGAGTCTCTCTGGCAGTTTCTGAGTCTGACCAGCGATGTTTGAGCTGGGAGGAGCTGGGCACACACTCACAGAATGTCTGCGTGGGACAAACAGACAGGGCCACCAGTGTTGGCGTTTGTTCAAGTCACATGTGCAATCAGGCATGCAAGCACATGCGCACAAACACACACACACACACAGACACGCATGCAGAAATACGCACAGTGTGTCAGCGGTTTTTGGTCTCTGTTGAAACAACAGAGAAATGTAAAAAGGGGCCGCAGCACATTTTCTAAGCTCTAATGTAAAACCACTGTTTGGAGATAAACGCAGCCGGCGCACATAAACTACGAGCCCCTACACACGTGGCTGCACACGGACATAGACGGATCCGAACCGGCGTCTGTGCATCTCAAATGTATCTCTCAGTGCAATGGGTTATGACGGGCTCAATGTGTCTTCCCAGAGATAGTTTCCTCCTCCTCCGAATACAGAAGAAAAACAATAGAAAGACTATTTCAATCAAATGCGCACAGAAGCAGGCATTACCATAAGCAGTTGGATATGTGTGTGTTGGTATACGAGGTTTGAACATAACACGCCTCGCATGTGTGCTGCTCGTGCTCCTACATGCGTCCCGGCGTGTTGTCCTGCACGGATAAAAGCCGAGTAGTTATGAACGACGGGGCTTTCCATCTGCTCCAGGAGAGCACGTTGTTCCATGACCGTAAACCACGCGGCTAACTGGCCAACACGCGCGCACACACATAACCGTGGGAACACAAAACTGCCTACTTAAAAAGGGATGAAGGAAACGTTCATGTATCAGTGCGTGTTTTGTATCCGAGCATGCTGTCGGGAGGCCGTGGATGAGAATGTGTGCGTGACGGAGACTTCTAGATGCTTTTCTTGCTTGTTATGACACTGTTTCAATAGCATCAACTGGACTGGAAGAAAATCTATTTTAATCTGCATTTTAAACCAGTGGGAGTAAAAATCTGAAAGATCGTTCCGGTTAACAATTAAGAAAAATATTTGAAATCTAAGTTCAGTATTTATTCTCCCTTCACCTCTACCTCACCAGCACTTGAAGAGAATATATCTTATACCAGTAAATTGATATATTAATTCAAAAGCTGCCATTTTACACACCAGAGCCACCACGAATAAACAACGTGAAAATTTGAAAACCCCGCCGACGTAGGTTTTGCTTTTGATTCCAACTTTTGCAGCGTTACATTTGCTCGTGAAGGTATTGATGACAAAAAGAGCCGAACTAGAAGCACGTCAGTGAGCGTGCGCCGGCTGTGTATGCAGCTCACACAGACATTGTGATGATGTCTGGCCAATAGTTCACTCCTTTGCTCGAAGCATTCTCTTCCAATGTGTACGACAGCAAGAAGGCAGGGGAGAAAGTGATGGAGGGATATTTGGGAAAGGGCGTGCTGAATTCTAATGAGCAGTCTCTCGGGTCTGTTCTGTTCGCAGCTGTCCGTGCTTTCAGCACACAGAGGAGCTACAGAGCGACCGTTGCTAAACCGACACAGACCGCCCCCCCCCCGCAGTGAACGCGCCGACACGGTGAAGACTGCAGGTAGGCACATTTTAGGCCACAATAAATTAGAACACTCATGGAGACATTCAAGCAGAACAAGGAGGGTTGTGTGTTGAAGCTGCAACGTGACAAAGTCCTCGCATCCCACCGAGCGGCACGTACCAGAGCTTCTGCGTGTTCACCGCCCCCCCCCTCCCCCCCCTGCAGCCTGCTAATGCTCACAAACAAACACGCACCCACGGTGACACGGCAATATCTGAGGGGCGTCTTGTTGGCGGCGGCCGTGGCTGCTTGGCGGTGTTTGTCTGGTCCTAATCTGACTCCACGTGCTCCGCCAACACACAGGATTTACACTGTATTACAATATTTGGGCTTTTTTATTTCTCCTATTGGTTGGACCTTGTAAGCAGAACCCAGTCTGAGAAGACGGACGCCGCAACGTGCACGTGCACTCCTTTAGAATGAGAATGGTGTGTGAGGCCACACGTCTCCACGGCGACTGCAGAACAATGTTTGGATTGTGGGAACTCTGTCCTGGAATACAGCTGCTTGCTTTCGTGAACACCTTACAGTGTGTGTGTGTGTGTGTGTGTGTGTGTGTGTCTGTGACGGGGACGAGGTGTGTTTAAACCTTGCTGCTCACTAAGCCGGCGGAGTGGAAGAGGATTTGCATACATTCACTCCTGGGCTTACTAATCATTTAACGGGGCCTGCAGACTGCTAAATGAAGGGACTGAGACTGGCGGAATGATGGAGGGGGGAGGATGGGGGAGGAGGGGGGGGGGGGTTAAAAGGGGGAGCAGCCAAACAACCTGCGCATAGTTCATCAGTGGTACATAGAGGAGATTAAGAATGTACTGTAGGTATTGAGTGGGTGAATCAACGGGGCCGCGACAGAATAAATGCAGACATCTTTCATCAGAACGAAGCTTTTCCCCCTGACACTGAAAGGAGAACTTAATGCAGAGCTGTGAAAAGCATTCACACACTACATCACAGTGAGTCTGTATTCCCGGATCCTCCAAACGACGACTACAAGGCAAATAAAGAAGTGGCTTTTTTTGTTAATGTAGAGGTTGATTGAATTTGAAAATAAATCTCGTGGAGGATTCTCTCTATGGTAAATTATACAGGAACTAATGAACATCCATATAATGACCTAATCAATCCTATACTAATGGCACACCAATAAAAAGTCAGTGAGATTACGTTCCATTTCACTTGAGGGGACAAAAGGAAAGTAACTAATATGAGAAATTATTAGTTATCGGTTATGTGCTGTGAAGCAGCTGATGGTTGCATGTGGAATAATCCGACTCACATTAAGAAACTGAATAGAGAAAGTCATTAAATACCGCATCAGTGGCACATTGTCTAAGTAACCTGTCATTATCATTACGAAGAAATCCTTCATTCAGTTATTCACGAGCTACTTATTGAAGCCTCTTTTCTTATTCAATAATCATCTGATTTTATTTACTATAAACATTTCTGTTGAACCATTTAGCCATCTAGCATATATATTCCACTTTAACAATGCAATTAAATTTTTTTTCCAAAGTAACATATACAGGCTCGTGGTGCACGGGCTCTGCAAATGCATCTTATCAACTCTCGCTCACACACACGCGCTTCCCGAAGGGAGGAAGATTGTGGAGACCTTTAATGCAATCTATTCATCCCTGCACATTTCCATAACCCGTTAGAAAAGAAGTGTAATCCTTTAGTGCAAATCTGATCTTTTTCAACATGCGACGCACAGCTGCTCGGGCTCATAAGCGGAAAGCAGTTTTGCACTTTTCAAACTATTGGGCAAAAGGGCGGTTGCTATTTCTCACCCATGACCACAATATATCCTGATCTTTACCACAAAAAAAAACAACGGAAGGAGTTTTTTTCTTTCGTTAAACTGATGCAGACAGACACCTCAGAGTTTTCCCTGAAACAGACGAAATGGATGAGTGGAGTTGGCGACGATTGTCGGGCATGGACTGCTGAATTTGATGAGGGGGGTGTTTACCTTGCCGGAGCCCATACTCTATTCTGCAGACTACAGAGATTTGGGTGTGGATATTTTAGAGGACACTGCTGCGGTGGATGTGACGGCCGGCGCGGCGGCTCGGACTGACTTCAGAGGGACCCCCGTGCGACTGATGCATCATGACAGCGCTGAACACTTTTTCTACAGACACTACTGGGATTTGGTAGCAAAAGTGCCGTATGAGAGGCAATATGATACTAATTGGTCGACTTTTACTGTTCTCATTCCAGATTATATTCATAATTTCTTTTCAGCTGATTTCTGGTGAAGTAGAGTGGATGCTTGGTAGAGAGCTCCCCGTGCTTTCACCAGGCCGTTTTGTTTGTTTCCACATTCAGTGGATTTCTTCTTCTTTGCATATTGGCTGCATCTCCTCCAAGATAAGCCATTTCAGTGGTGTAAACAGAATATTCTTTCAATGCACGTTTTCAAGACCGGCTGAAAGAACACAAACACGTCTCAACAAGCCACAGCCGGAGAGGAGAGTCAACGGAAAGACCTGAACGTGAGCCGATTCGTAAAAGAGGTGCAAAATTCAGAACATTTCTTTGGGAGGACTTAGTGGAGTAATGTTTACCTGAGCAGAGAAACAACTCACATCCCCTCGGTGAGTTTATCTCTGCTGTGTTTACATTAAAACCCCAGCGTATGTTAGTACCCACGGCCCCGTCTGCAGGACGGGCAACGCGGTTAACACCAAAACAACAACAACAACAACAAGGCCGACCCTCCGGCTCCCTCTCAGGTAAACACTCATGCAGCACAGTTAGTTGTGGATAATTCAGCAATTTGCACCAAATTTAAAAACCTCTGAAGTTAGCATCACATTCGTTACCTCTAAAAAAAGCTAATGAGCTTTTTTTTCTGTTGAAAATTAGCTTTGTAGCAAAACCCACTTTATGATTCTTAAACTGTTAATCTTCATAATTGGCTGCGCGCCGAACGTTGATGAAACTGCCATTACCACAAATGGTAGCCAACAACTTGTTGCTAAGCTACCACGTTCTTGACAAAACCTAAAGACCTCTGAATTCAATATATATAATGTGTTTCAATCTTGTGTGCGCGGACGAGTGATCGAGCACAACGTGCACCGTTTAAGTGATGCAAAGAGAGAAAAGAGATGCATGCAAACACAAAGAGGGATGCTCTTCACCTTCAAAATAAGACTAAGCATGCAGAGAATGGAGAGCGGGGAGAAGTGGAGGAAGGGGGGGGGACTGGGACGAGAGAACTTCAATCCTAAGAGACAAATCACCCGCTCCACCCTCCACTGCTTGTCCTTGGCGCTCGGCACTGCAAATCGTCCCCCACGCGGGGGGAGCGGGTCTGTCACCCACTGTCCCTGAGGTGCACGCGCACACACACACACACACACACACACACACACACACACACACACGGGAGTGCAAAAACACATCACGGGAGCCGCCGTTGTGGAGCGCACAATCACCGTGAGGTTCAGAGCGGCTGCTCTCCGGGCCTGAAGGGAAACAGGGCG